ATAAATAGTGTATAGGATAAAAATTTTTAGTTAAAACCTTCATAACTGAAATTTTTTGGAATCATTTAGAATTCTTTTTAGATCACATATTCTCTGGTCGATTCTACGATGAAAAATAATTTTGATAATTGAAAGTACACGTGAATGGTGATGACCATTAAACTTGGTGATTAATTTCAATGACACTTACTGTTTAGTTACTTCTATCTCGTTATTAATCAATTCGGTAGGTTTTGGTTGATTTGTCTGCCCAGTGGCATCGTCAGTAACCGAATGAAAAAATATCTTCAAGAATAGAAAAACATAACAAAGTATTTGTGTAGGAACCACACTAACGAAATTGTGCAATCAATTGGTAGATCAGCTGTGAATGAATCGTAGTTTGACACAGTTTTGTGCGACGTAGCGCCATCGCTGTCATTTACGTTTTCTACGAAAAACTCGTTAGTCTCGCATTCCCATGACTAACCTCATTCTAACTCCGTGAATATTGACAATATTGACATTATTAATTGCTCACAAAATTGATCCCAAATGTCGACTAAAAAGAAGAGTAAAGGGAAAATGCATGAGAGGAGGAAGCGACAAGTTGTGGGAAAAGAGGAAAGGTATCGGCAGCAGAGGGATATGTCTGATCAAGATGAAGAGGTTGAAGAAGGTGAGAGCAATATTTCAATGATGTTGAGAGGTCAATAGAAAAAAGTGATGACAGGGGTTTCTTTCTAGAGAAAGAGGAGTCACCAGTTTCTTTCCCAGTTGCCATGTGGGACCTTGAGCATTGTGATCCAAAAAAATGCTCTGGAAGAAAATTATCTAGGCATGGACTCATCAAAACATTGAGATTAAACACAAGGTTTTCAGGACTAGTGCTTACACCCGTTGGGAATAAGGTATGTCCTTAAAGCTCAGGAAATCGATCAGAATTTTTGAAGATACGTATAGGAATTTTCAAAATTGGGCATTACGTTTCGTGTTAGGGTAATCGTCTATTTGATCTTAATAATGTAAATTTTCTAAACTTTTATTTATTGAAATGCAGTGTGTTGCACCAACGGATCGTGAAATAGTTCAAGAACATGGTTGTGCTGTTGTCGACTGCAGTTGGGCAAAACTCGAAGACACACCATTCAGCAGAATGCGAAGTCCAAATCCACGTCTTCTTCCATTTCTTGTTGCTGCTAATCCCATAAATTATGGGAAGCCTTGCCAATTAAGCTGCGTTGAAGCTATTGCTGCTATGATGATTATAACTGGATTTCCAGATGAGGCGAATTTTTATCTAGGAAAATTTTCTTGGGGTCACTCATTTTTGGAGCTGAATTCAGAGTTGCTTACTGCTTATGCTGCATGCTCCAATAGTGAAGAAATTATTCAGGCTCAAGACAAATTCTTGGCGAATGCTAGGCAAGAGAGAATCGAGAAGCAAGGTATAGGTCTTCACTTTAATTTTTTATTCTTGATTTCTTTTTTAAATTGAATATGTCAAAAATAGAGACACTTTCAGATATGAAAATGGAAAGATTCGCAGTTAGTGCAATTGCAATGAAAGGTTGAATAACAGCCTAAAAGAACTATTTTATGGTGGAATATTGAAAAAATTATAGTAGTTTTTATACCATATAATAATTACAATTGTTATATGTATATAATGCAGTAACAAAGGAAAATTCTCAATAGCATTTTCGCTTCAGAAAATATTGTGGGCTTCTTTTTAACTAAAAATATTAATGTCAGAATAAAATTTTACGGGAAGTTAGCCGTTCAAATCTAGACTGAGTA